TTTGGGTAGCTGTCCAAGTATCACATAAGAATCCAGTGCTAGTTATTTTTTGTTTTCATATCATAAAAATAAATTCTTATACTATAAAAAAGTATATATTACTGTGTAACAAATTGTCCCAGAATTCAGTAGCTTTAAAGCAAACGTTTATTATGTCATGCAATTCCTGAGGGGCAGAAATATAGGAGTAACTTAGTTGGATGATCTGGCTTAAGAGCTTTTATTCATACAGAAGTTGCAAATAAGCTCTTGATTAAGGTTACAGTCATCTCAAGGCTTAATTAAGGTAGGAAAGTGTACTTCTAAGCCTCGCATGCAGTTGTTGGTAAGCTTCAGGTCCTCTCTGACTGCCAGAGACCTCTGTGCTTCTCTATAAAGTTTCCATTATTAAAGTTATTTGTTCTAGCAAATGACTTCTCTCAGGGCAAATAATCCAAGGGAGAGAAAGATAACAGGGAAAGAAGAGGTTCACATACAGTGCACGCTGCAGTCTTTCATAACCTAATCCTGAAGTGACACTATTATCACTTCTGCCGCACACTAATGGTCACACATAGCAGCATTGGTGGGAGAGGACTAACAAAGAGATGAAGAGCAGGAGACAGGGTTCACTGGTGGCTAACTTGCTGGCCACTCCCAAGAACAGCCGTGATATATTTCAGAGAGAAGTACTGATTTTCATACTTATAGGCAATACAATGTATTTCTTTAAAAAAAAAAAGTTGAATAATATTTACACGTTTACTTTTGTTGTGTTCTATGAAGAAAGGAGTTTTTTCTGTTTCCCGTTAAATTTAAGAGATGACCTTGACAAGTTTGTGATTGGGGTCATTTTCTTTTAATTCATTTAATAGCATTTGGTATGTTACTAACATAAGACTTAACAGAATTTTCCTCAAAATCTTAGGAAGGAAGTATTAACTAAATTTACTTAAGTGTTTATTTGAAGGAAGATTTAGTATTTCTCTCCAGATATTTTCTATACAGTAGAGAAATCCTTCCAATGTTTAATAGGGAAGGAGCAGCTACTTATATTTATTCAATTTCAGGATTTGTAAAACATGCTTTTCCCTTAATGCATAGGAGTGGGCAAATTTTGTAGTTGATGCTTTCTTAGTAAGAAGGATTCTATAATATTTTTCTTAATCTTTTGTGGGTGGTGGTGGTAATTCCTAGATCCTTTTGCATGTGACGGTTGCTGTAGTCTCTCCAGAGAAATGCACTGATACATACAGTGGCAGTTTTGCAATTCAGGGCAACTCTGAGAAGACCTATGAGTTTTAGATTGAGAGCACTTCTTTCAAAGCACAGGTAGGCTTCTGATGTTTTCTCAAAGACTTTTGATTTTTAAAAATAAAAGGAAAACAGTGTACCTAACTCTAATTGGAAATGTGTATTTGTTTTCATTTTAATATAATTTCTAAGTCAACTATCCTAATTATGTTTTTTGTTTCTGAATTTTGCTTCTTCTGTAGCATCTGGAGCATAAGAACAGTGCTTATTTTCATCTTTTCCAAGAGAACAGAAAGAAATAGTAAGTTTGATTTTTAATTTTTTTATAAATACATTTAAAAAGCCCATCTTACAATTTATTGGTCTGTAATTGAATGGCAGTTTGTGAAATGGTGTATTGAAATTATCTGGTTGTTTACTGTGAAACTTAAAGGTTGAATGATCAAGTTCTATTTTTGTGTTCTTTTCATCATGTTTATTTAGATATTTTAAGTATAAAACAATAATGCATTTTTTAATCAAGAGATGCTATATTTAACCTTAAAATTTATGTTACTAATGAATACAGTATAGTTATACGTCTTTTGGTTAGTTGTATTATTTGCACTAGTTAGTTTTATTATTTGCACTGTCTTTTTAAACTTCAAATCCCTTGACTTGTTTTTATTGAAATGTGAGAATTCTGATAAGATCTCCTGTCTTTGTTCTGTATATGTACAGATTTTAAAGATTTTGAGGCCTTTAAACTGTGAATTATAATTAACCAAAGGTGTATACATTTCCATTTTTTAAAAAAGATTTATTTATTTATGCATACAATTACTGGGGTATAGGCCAGAGGTGTGGGGGATGAGATGATTCAACAGAGACAGAATGGGGAGCAGAACAGGCAGATTGACTGAAATACAATTACTGAGGGGAGCAGTAGGTGGTTCAGGAGAGGTCTGCCATGCCATGTGGCTCACTTCCCTGGCTGGCTGGGAATTGAACTTGTGCTGTAATGGCTGGATTTGCTTCATAGTGCTGTGCATTAACCAGTTGTGCCACCACAAGGAGGGCCAGCATTTCTATTTTAAATGAACTCTGTGACTTCTTTTCTTGTTTTAACAATCACTACGGAAAAATGTTGACATACACAAAAGTAGATTGAATAATATAATGAACCTTAGTATACTTACCAAAAACATAAAATTACCAACAAATGATTATTATTTAGTTTTACTCACACCCACTCCTCCTCCTGTATTATTTTGAAGTATATCCTGCTATGTCTTCCTATAACAGTCTTTAAAAATATATATAAACATAAGGGCCTTAATTCCTAGTTACACAAGGGTTTAAGTCTCAGCCCTATCAAGCTATTGGCAGTCCCTGCAGCCAGAGGGCTGACCCACATGCCACAGCAGACCTCTCCCAGTCTTACCTGGTAACAAGACTCTCCTACTGTCTTACTCAAGGCTCTCCTCAGCAGTTTATTTAAGTCAGTCCTATTGTTCTGCTCCCCTCTCTGTCTCTGGTGAATCCTCTCATCCCTCTGTACCTCTGGCCAACACCCAGCTCTTGCATGCCTAAATAAATCTTTAAGAAAAAATAAACACCATACTATTCTTATGCCTAAGAAGAAATTCTTAATATCATAAAGTACTAAAACTATGAAACCATTAAATTGCTAGTTACTCCTAGGTGGTGTCATTTATTTAAAAAATAATTTTGTTTGATTCAGGATCCAAATAAGGTTTACACAGATATATGACCTTCAAACTGTCCTACTCCATTATGACTTTGCTTTTCTTCTATCCAGTTGAGGTTCTGTGGTCTAAACAAATGTCCTCCTGCAGACACTCCTGACTCTTGCTTCTCTTTCTGTCCCTACTTATCTGGCAAGCCATCCCTTCTTATACAATGACTTGAAAAATTTATGATTCACCAAACCCTATGTTAGTTAAAAAAAATATGCTTATTTTATGCTGGAAACAGATTAGCTAATTTTTTAGAGGAAAATCATACAGTATACTCATTATACTTATCTATGACTGCAAATATCAAATGGGCTCTTACAGTAGCTATCCTGACCTCTTATGGTTCCTTGGTAAGTTTACATTTTTCTGTTAAGAACATTCTTTAAGAATGTATTTATCCTCAAATCATTAATAACTGCCTCCCTACCAAAAATAGAAATCTAACCAAAATAAAACCAACCAACAAAATAAAAATTCAAAAGTCATAAATAAAACTCCACAACACCTATCTGGCCAATTTCATCTGATAGTCTCACTTTTTGGAAAAAGTGGATGTAATGCATGAGAGCTAACCCCATCACCAAACACTGAGAGTCAGTGTGTTGTCATCTATCATGTTCTACAGGAAGATTGACCTTGATCTCATCTATGGTAATCTACACATTCATGCCTTGCATTCTAGATACTCTTGCTATTTCAACAACTTTACTTGTGCCTGTGATTATTTTCTCTGACAAGATCTGTTTTTGTTGGACTGTCCTTATTGGCATGTAATTCTGCCTCAATACAATCACCTAACTCCATTTCCCCCTTAATCTATCAGCCATTTCTTTGAATTCTTTTGAATTCTTTGAATTCTTATCATTGCCTCAAATTATCTTGAATCTTAACACTTGTAACCTTTACTACAGCTATAGTTCTAATTCAGGTCACCATCTCTTGCTTGCATTTCTGCAGTAGTTTTCTAGGCCTATTTTGGAAGTATAAAGCATATTTTGTGTTCTTAAACTCTCTGAAACATACCACCGAAAACAGCACAAAATCTGAAATTTTACTCACTTATGCCCTTTTCTCTAAATTCACTTTCTTCTATTCTCCTTGTTTCATTTGCTTAACTATTTTGGCTGTCTTTTCCCTCTACAAAATAACTGAAAGTTCTCTGAACCTCAGTTTTCTAATTCATAAAATGGGAACAGAAATATTTGCTTTTGTAGAAATATATGATACTATATGTAAAAAATAAAATTCAAATTTGTGCAGATGGTACTGATTCTTCTTTTTTAAACCTTATTCTTATATTTTTTCTGACTTATTTAATGGGTTAATTGCTAGCACAATATTGAATTGAAATGTTTGTATCCTTGTTTAGTTCCTGACTTCAATTTGAAAATTTTTAATTTTTACCATTAACTATGGTTTGCTGTGATTTTGAAAAACAGATACTTTTTACCAGACTGAGGAAGTATTAAATCTATGGTATTGTTTTCAGTAATAGTTAGGAATACAGTATAATTGCTCGAAGATTTGAAGAAGTTTGAAATTAATATGTTTTCTGACTATATTGAACTGATAAAACAGTAAAAGACACGAGAAACTTAAGAATCCTTGGAAACCTTTCTCTAAGAAAATCAAATGTATGCAATTTTAACTTACAAATAGGCACAGTAGAATGTGGTTTTTGTGCAAAGGGCTTTTTTAAAAAAGAATTTTAGGGTTCCTAGGGTCTACCTTGTGGTACAGGGGTTAACTATCAAGCTAAGCTGCAGACTTCCCCTGTTCTACCTGCTGCTCCCCTCAGCAGTGTTTTACAGTGGTTTGGTCTGTTCTGCTTTCCACTCTGTCTCTGGTGAATCCTCTCACTCCCTGAAACTCTGGCCTAAAAATTTTAAAACCAATTTTTATTTAGAATTTATTTAGAATTTATTTAGAATTAATTTGCAATGATTGTCACGTGAGAAAAGGTAAATATCAGAAGAATCTTAGGAATTCTATAAATACCTGTAAACATTAAATATGCTCAAAATAATATTATCACAGATTAACTTCAATATTTAGTAGTATATTTAGATATGAAAAGATATTTTCAAATATAAATGCATAAGGTCTCATTACAGACTAACAATAACAAAATTGTGCATTAATATTCACAGTGATGGGAAACACTAACTTTGAACCTTAACTGAAATGTTACATCCTTCACCAAAAGCGTACACCTGTTCTACACATAAATTAAACTCCGTTATGTATGAATTTGTGTTAATAAAATGTTTGCAGAAATTTTTCTCTTTTCCTCTAAATGTAGCTTTATTTTGCCTTTTGACCTGTAAAACTGAAAATATTTATTGTTTGGACTTTTACACGGAAATTTGCTAACCTTTGGACTAAAAGGGTAGCTACCAAGATATTTGTCTTGGTTTAATCTAGCTAAAGAGAATATTCTCTTAAATATATGAGCACATTTCTTCCTCTAAGTAAAAAGTCTGTTAGCATATTAAAGCCTATTTAATGTAATATGTTTTCAAAAACTCATCTTTTTATAAGTTTATTTACTTGGATTTTTACATAAATAATATACTTTGGGCATCCAGATGTCTGGTTCCCCTAAAGTTCAATGAAGAGGCAATAATTTTATTAATAAATTTGGTTAGACATTAAAAATGTTGCTTTAAATTCTATTTGATTAAATATTTAAATGAAATTATGACTCTTCCAGTCGGTGTGTGTTTATAATAGTATTTTCAGAGAAAAACTAGAAACCTAAAGTAAGTTTATAAAGTAGTCAATGGGGGGCCTCCCTGGTGGCACAAGGGTTAAGTCGCAGCACAATTAAGCTATCCACAGCCACTTCAGCAGCCAGCCAGGGAGTAACCCATATATCTCAGCAGACCTCTCTTGTCTGGCCTGCTGCTTCCCCTCAGCAGTGCATTTCAGTAGATCCAATGCTTCTGCTTCCCACTCTGTCTGGTGAATCCTCTCAACCCCACTCATTTCTGGCCTGTACACCAGTTCTTATATGTATAAATAAAGCTTTAAAATGAAGTAGTCAAATTGGCATTTGTAAATGATATCTTTTGAAGTTTCCACTATGTCAAGCTAAATAAACAGACAAATCTTAGAAATGCTTAATTTTGAAAATTAATTAGTATTTCTTTCCTTTCCAACTTTCTCAGGTATACAACTAAGAATTTCAAAAATTCTTCTTTATTAGTGTTCATTATCTTGAACTTTTAATTATTTAACAAAATAAATTCTGAATCTCTTTCCTTATAATGAGAACATATTTATTTCCAAAGTATGAAAAGAAAATTGGTACTAACTTTATAAATTAACATATGGGATGTTGAAAGGAAGGAAAAATAATAGCCTTATTTCTGAAAACATAAAAACATGGTTTTAAATTTGGAAAAGTGCTTCATTTTATGTTAAGTGTACATTTTTTTCATACTTGATTTGTGGTATATAGTTAAGGCAAAATATGAAGTATGTATGGGTAAAGGTAATTTTTGTGTCCATTAGTAAAATTTAGAGAAACCCTAAAATGAGAAAGTTTTCTTGCAGTTGATTAATGTATATAATTGGCATGATTTTTTTTCTTATGTCTAAGCATCTAAATAACTGATTTAGCTTTGATTTAAATCTTGTTTTTCAGATGAAGCATTGGATGATTTAAAATCCCAGAAGAAAAAAATAGTAAGTTAACTTTTATTTAAAGTTAATTTATATAAGACTAATAAATTAAAAACTGAATAATTAATGTTTATATGTTATAAGTAATGATTCTCCAAGGACCCAGTATGCTTTTAGGTAGCATCTTAGTGGTGAAGCTAAAATATGAATATTTTGCTATTTAATAATGATTGACAGCAAAGAGTAACTAGATGGACATTTGCAATTCTTAGAATCTATGTCGGTTGGAAGCTGAAGTAAATAAATTATATTAGAGGACTAAATTGAGGGGGAATAAAAAGTTGGGTGTCCAATTTTATTATTAGGGCCATGAAAAGATAAAAAATTACATATGGAAAGGCTGAAAAAAGGGGAGGAAAGAGGAAATGCTCTTTTATGTTTTTTGAAATTTTGTGTCAGTAGCTTTGATTATATGGGTCTATATTCTGGGGCTAATTAAATACACTTTTACCTATGTTGGAAAAAGGATTGAATAAGAGATGAAGGCCCCTAGATATTTAGAAGTTGATACAAAATAGCTCTAGTAAGTGAATTGAACTTGATGTTTGACTTGAATTTACATATCTTCTTTCATATAATTATTTTTGAAGTGTGAACATTTTTATTAATTGATAGCAACCTCATGTTGTGAAAACTTATTTAATAGAATTTAATCAGAGTCAAATGAGCAATATATTGTAGTCTCACAATACAATTAAGTGTGAAACTATTAAAAATTATGAAGGGTAAGGTTAATGTAAAGAATTATTCTGTAAATTGGTAATAAGAGATACTGTCTTGAAAGAAAATTTTTGAGGCTTTCGGTTACCTGAAAAGTAGAGGAAATTTTAATTTAGAAAGAATTCCTTATTTTTTTTTGTCTGTAGGATGCTGCTTCAATATTCTGTGAGCTATTTATCAAAATTGCACTGATATTCTTGGTAGTCCTAAATTGAAACTGAAATACTCCTATTGTATCTTACTATATTTCTGGCATTATGTACATTATGGAGCAGCCAGAAATTCAAGGTGAGGAAATACTGATTGTTCTGTTAATATAGACGTTGTGATATGGCAGGTTTGGTGTGTTGATGTGATAAAAAGAAGAGCTGGTAGTGGTGCTCATAGCCAAGCCATACTTGTCCAAAATGGAGAAATAGTAAAGCTGAGAAGACAAGGAGGATGAAAATAGAAAAAATAATAAATAAAATTCAGAAGAAAATTAAAAAAAGGTAAATGATAAGAAACCAATCCAATGTCAGTGGCGTCAAATCATCAGAAAACAGAACCTTGGAGAACACAGGATTGAGGAAAAAACTCAGTAGAGTAACAGGGTAGTCTTGGGGAAATTTTGTTAAAGGGCAAACCAAGCTATTTCTCTTTGATTCCCTTTGAAGGAATCACAACATAATAGATGTTCTTTTTAGCCCTGCCCTGATGATTGGGAAATACATTTCTGGGTTCAATAATTATATTACAACAAAATTTCAAATGGCATTTCTCTTACAGTATGACTAAAGAAAGTACATTGGCTGCTCTGACTCACTTTATTAATAGGAAACACAATTTGCATTGATTTGATTGTTGTTATTTGTAATACTGTTTCTTCTAGGAACTAGTTCTTCAGACATTATTGCCCAAGTCCTTAACAGAACCGCTTTGTTTGAGTAGCTTTACAGTTGTCTAAAACAGTCAGTGCTGAGGGTGACTTAGTGAATGAATCACTTAGTAGTGAAAGGAAAAATAAAGAACAAAACTTTGAGCAAAAGCTAACTGTAATCAAAACGAATTTTGTTCATTCATTTTTAAGTTCAAAGTTTAAATTTATAGCTTTATAAAATTGTGTTTTATTGTTGAAGTCATACAGAAAAAATAACTTCACTGTAAAACTGTCCAACTCTTAATTCTCTTTCATTAGTAAAAGTTAATGTAAGATAAGATGTACTTAGCACTTGCTATTTTACTAAGGTGGTTTTCACAGAGATACATTTCTTTAATCTGAAAAGATTTGTAATTTGTAGAAGTGTAATTTGTAGCAATGAACATGAATTAACAATAGATTAAAAAATTAATTATCTAGAAAGAAAAATAACATTGTTTTAAATCTTTAAATGTTAATGTTTTAAATCTAAGAACTTAGTGTAAATATTAACTTATTAAAGTTAAGCATTAGTCTTATCTAGAAAACTCCCAAGTATGAGTCTATGTATTTAGTCACATATTTTGTGGTTTTTATAAAAAGTCACTGTTCAATAGACAAACCTCTTCATTTGTGAACATCCATCCAAACAGCAAAACGAAGTTCCATGAAAATATGAGTTAAAAGGATCTCTTTAAGTAACTTCATGCAGATTTATTACTTTTTTGAACAGTTTTTCTAGGTTATAATTCTTTTCTCAAATATCTAGGGGAAGTTTTATTAGAAGTTTTGAGTATCATAAGACTTTAAGTTGTAGATGCTTTTTGAGGACAGTCTTAAAAATTTGACCAAAGTCAATGCAAAATGAAAGCAATTTTTCTACATCTAAAAAAGTTGTCATGAAACAAAGATAAAAATATTACTTGTGGCAATTAATGTTTTAAAATTTTATTTCTAAACTGATAATTTAAATATTTAGTATTTGTAGAAATGTAGAAGTATTTGTATTTAAGCATTTGTCCAAGTTTTTAATTTCTTCAAAATTAAAAATTAGGACATTTGTGTTGTATTTGTGTTTGCTTCTAATGTCTGTGCTGAACTATCTGTAGTAGGTAGAAGTAATTTTTAATAATAATAATTATGTATCTTAAGAAAACATAATCTTGTCAAGATAATGTTTATAATAACAACTATGTGTTTCTTTTCTTTTTTCAGTTAAGAAACACCCTGAAATGTTTAGCATAACTATATCGTAGAAAAATGATACACTCTTTGTTATATCATTCATTATTATTTAAAATAATATAAACATTTATGAAACATGCAGGGTAATTTATAATTTAGAGAACTCTGATAATCCAATTTCTCGTTTCTAAATCTGGGATGACTATGTTGGATATTTGGAAACACTGTTTCAATGCCATTCTGAATAACAGGTATCATTGGAAATTATTTTACTAGGTACTGTTGTGTACTGTCCTGCATACTATACATAATTAAATTGTACAATAGTGTTATACAGACAATTTTATATATCTATTTTAGAAAAGAAGAAACTGAGAATAACAGATTTGCTTAAGGCCTTTCCTTTTTTGCTAATTAAGAATGAAGATGGGCTTTGAAACTCAAGTCTTTTCTGACTTCAGAGTGTCAAGTTTATCTTCTTTCCACTGATAAGAATTTCTATTTAAAACAAGTTATTCATTTAAAATGTTCTGTTGATTAGCATGTTCATTAAACTGTTTGTTTTAAGTACCTTTTTGCTAAAAGTAAATTCAAAAGAAGAATGGAGTTTTAAAAGTGATTTTTTTTTTTTTTAAACACATCAACATCGGATGATGTGCCAAAAGTTTGGGGTCATTTGAACAAGTGACATTTTGGTTTTGAGTTTCATGTTGTTTTAAAGATCACAGTTTTCATGTAATCTTCTTAGCTTTAGTTTAGAAGTGTGCTATACAAAATAGTCACTAGCTCCATGAAATAAACCAGTTTAGTTCCTCAGTGGCACCGGCAACACTGCTTAGTAGCTACTGTATCATGTAGGTATAAATCATTTCCATCATTACTGAAGATCTTTTGCTCTAACACTTTTCTAAAATATAAAAAAGTGTACCAACTTTTGATATTTTGTATAGATTATTTTGGCTTGGCATATATTTTATCATGACCTCTTTCTATACACGTGCCACCCTCATTAAAGAGATGTTATAAAAATTTCCTTTAAATCAGAAAAATTACTTGTTTGGAGAATTTATCATACTTCTGAAATAGTAGAACATTTTTGTTTCACTAAACCAAGTAAATCATTCATTTAAGTATTTTAATTAAATATTGAGTATTTTATGAGGAATCTATTAAATATTGTGGTAGCATATTTTAAACTTTTTCTAAATTGGTAATGTGCTTTTATTACACTTAAAAATAGATGTCCTTTGAAATAAATAAGTATGCAATGAATCTTACATGGCTATCAGTGGTTATTGAAAAGGAAAATTTCCCTTTCCAGTTTTTACAAAAGCATGTTGTTATACACATTAGCTATTTGTCGTAACTATGACTGTCTTGTACTAAAGTTAAACTTCTGATATTGGGCTATAACTGCTAAACTGATACTTTACTAGTGATTACTTTTTAAATTAAACCAATGTATTAAGCCATAAAGTGATTTGAGTACATTGTAAATACAATGCTATAATAAGGAAGTATTTTAATTACAGTCCCTAAAATGATCATAGAGCTCAATAAAATTTTTAGTTAAATTCTTACTGTTTAGTATTTTTTACTTTAAAGTTGCTTGAACCTAAGTAAAAAGGGGGAAGCATTAGCTATTAAAGTCATTTGAACAAATTCCATGGCCGTTCTCCCAGTTAGTGAATTTTCACTGCATTTGCAGTAAGCTAATTGCTTCTGCTAATAAATAATCTAAAATCAATGCTGACAGCAGTTAATTGGCACAAAGATTTTATTTTGTAAAGCTCTTGGCTAACGACCTTCTTTAAATTAATAGCACTAAATGCTATGAGGAAATAAATCTAAGGAATTGCCTGTCATTTGCTTGTCATGTCTAATAACTTCCAATAATGACGGCTGATAGATTTTTGCACATTCCATTATTGAAGTTGGTGCATGTAATTATTCTCCTCATTATATGTAAACAATTAGCAATATTTGGTATTTCCTTGCAGTAAAGCTGTTAAGTACAAGTAACATATTAGAGGTTAGAAGCCATTTTAAAATTTGGATTTTAATTATTTGAATGTAGGAAGTCTTTCATGCTATCTGGATATATTATATACTGTTTATTTTAAGCCTTGTACATGAGCACTTTTATGTAGGACTTATAAAAATAAGTAGAGTATGTTTTAAAATGTGACAATTTATGGAATTTTTTTTTTTCAGCTTGAAGAAGTCATGGAAAAAGAAACTTACAAGACGGCTAAATTAATTCTGGAAAGGTTTGATCCAGATTCAAAGAAAGCAAAGGTAAGGCTGTGATATCACTATTATTTTATATAAATTACACATTTAATAGGTCACTGTAATAACATTATTGTAATTGACAGGAGATTGAGCCACCATCTGCTGGAGCAGCTGTAACTGCAAGACCTGGACAAGGTAAATAACTTTGTAGAAACTGCTGCTGCTGTTGGAAAGATCCATATTTATTCAAGTGAGTTCAAAAGTGTGATAGAGGTGTGTAAAAGCTTATGTAGAATGCTTTTATGTTAATTTAAATTTGGTAATTTGAGATGACTCATATAATAATAAGTTTATTTCATTTTGATTTTGACAGGAATATGTTGATAAGTTGTTGAATATCTGATTCAATAATAATTGGTTTTGAAAATTAAGTTTACTAACATTTTGTAAGGCTTTCCTCCTTCTATTATTATGGAAATTATTACATCTATATCGTTTATTTTTGAGGAGTTTAACACAAAATTTTGAGGTTCTAAAGTAACACTTTATTTAGGAAGAGAAAGTTTAGGAATGAGAAAAAATGGAATTACTGGTAGGTAAAAGTAGTTCTTTATTTTGAGGTTGGATTGTCATATGATCTGTGGAAACCAGCACTATAATGTTAAATATTATGCAAAATTTAAAAAGTCTCTTAAAAAAATTTTATTTTTTGTAGAAGTGGAATACAGGCCAGTTGTGTAGGGAGTGAGAATATTCACCAGAGACAGAGTGGGAAGAAAAACAGGTAGATTCACTGAAATACACTGCTAAGGGGAACAGTGGACAAGACAGTAGAGGTCTGCTGAGCCATGTGAGTCAACTCCCTGCCAGGGAATCGAATTTGTGCAGAGTTAGCTTAAGTGCTGAGATGTAACCCCTTGTACCACCAGGGAGGTCCATTAAAAAGTCTTATTTGAAATGATTATATAGAGTATTCCTAAGACCAGCATTTCAAGATTTTTTTGAGTTTACATTGACTTTTCTGTCAGGTCAAGGGAATGACATTTAGAACTTTTAGAAGTTTATTCTGTTATAAAATTCTATAAAGACCATGGCACTAAATAAACTATAATAATTTTAGGTTTTCTAATTGACAGGGCTGATGGGAAATATCTTATAGAGATATTAGCTGGCTTTTTGATAAAAGTAAAATTTTACTTATGTTTATAATAAATTAGGTATACACATCAGTGAAATTTCCACTCTCATATAATCAGTTTCAATTTTTCAGTTTTCTGGCCTAGTGGTCAGGTTTCTATAATTTTCACAACATCATGTATAACTGGTACTAACTTTTCATGAGTGCTTTTTAAGAAGTTGTAGATATATTTTAAAATGATATTTTGCTGTTTGAAAAAGTCTGTTCTTTTCTATCAGCCCAAAACGAACATGTAGTATGATCCCTTTACTGACATTGGGGAGTATTTATTAGTGTTTAGCTAACATAAGTTATTTCAACAATCTAAACTTATCTTTATTTAGTAACTTTTGAAATCCAAATGAGTATTTTCCTTCTGATATCATAGGGTTGTTATAGAATACCTGTTGCTGGTCCTTCTGCTTTGGTTTCCTGTGGCACTGCTTTTCTATATTCTTTTCAGGAAAATTATTTAATTGTTATACAAATGAATTGTTCATTTAAGTAATGTATTAAATAACTTTTATATGCTGACACTATGGAGAATGAGAAATGAGCATAGTAAGGATTTTTTGACCATGAGAAGCTTATGGCCTACTTCTTATATCCTATTTTTTTCTTTGAAATTATTTCTTGTGGACATAGAATTTCTATCTCCTCTAGATCTGTAGAAATTAATTGCTGTTTGTAACTTTTCCCTTCTTTTAAAAATTCCAAAATATATTGCAACTTTATTCTACTTTTTGAGACTTATAATTTAATTTCATTATTTAATCCTATCAAATCTCCTAAGTTTCTAACATTTGTATAAGTAATTTTATGTTCTGTTTCTGTGAATTTAAGGTCATCTTATTTTTTTTTGCTTGAACAATTGTTCTCTTACCTTTTCTCCCCTCCTTTTACCTTCTCTTTTCTTTTTATCCTCCCACTCATTCCTTTTTTTCTACCTTTTCTGAACTAACGAATCTTTGTAAGTACAATTATGACCCTTGGATAGATGTCCTTTTCAAGAGGAATCTAATTGTGCTATCCTGTTTTACTAGTTGTCTTATATGATAACTGAACTGGAACTTTTGATTCATCTGTAGTCTATATCTTTATTATTTAGTTTTTATTGATGTGTATTATGCTGGTTTATTTATACATTTTGAGGATAGTATTCAATTTGCTCAGGTTTAGCACTAAAAGGAGTGTCATGTTTACTGGACAATTAACCCAGCTAACCTGACAGCCACTCCTTTTGTAATGACTTTTCTTTTGAAAGTTATATATTTACAGAAAACTGCAAAGTCAGTACAGAGGGTTCCCATATATACTTGTGCCAAGTTTTCCCCCTTATTAGCATCTTAAATTAAAAACAGTACTTTTGGTTCCAATTTTGAACCAATATTGATTCAGTATTACTAACTTGAAGTCTATTCGCTTATTCAAATTTCCTTTGATTTTTATCTCTTTGTATTCCAAGACCGCATCCATAATGCATTGTATTTGGTCTTCTTAGGCCTCTCTGGTTGTGGCACCTGTCTTTCCATTTTGGGGATAATTTTAGAAAATTGACATCACTGTTTGGAGCAAGAGAATTAGGGGTATGTGAAAAGAGGCTGTAGAGGGAGCAGAGGTGGAGGTAGGGAGGCCACTTTGAAAGCTATTGTAGTGGTCTAGGAAAACATTGGTGGTGGCTTGGGCCTGGGATTAGTAAGATTGGAGGTAGTTTCAGGAGCAGTTAGATTCTGAATATGTTTTGAAGGTAAAACCCAAAAAATTCCTGATAGATTGGATGTGGGGTCAGAGAGGGAGGGAGGAATCAGACATGACCTAACTTGAGTGGCTTGAGTAGCTGGGAAGATGAAATTGCCATTTACTGAGAAGTTAAAACTGTAAAAGGAACAATTTTTGGAAGGAGTTCAAGGTGAGGTGAAGAACACCTTTGATTTTGGATATGCATACTTGTGATATTAGTCATCCAGTGGAGATTTTAACAATCATATTTTGAGAACGAGTCTGGAGAGCAGAACTTTGTGGGTTCGAGATATAAATTTGAGTGTCATCAGTATATGGATGGTATTAAAACTGTGAGACTGTATGAGATTACAAAGGACATAAATATAGAGAAAGAAGAGAACTAAAGGCCTCTATTGGATCTGTTTAATATCATAAGCATACATGTTCCAAATCAAAGCCTGTTCTTCACTACCTCACCTTGACCTCTGCATTTCTACCATCTTTGTAAATGATAATCCATCTTCCCAGTTACTTGTTGCAGACACCTCCTTCTCCTGGGTTTCCTACCTCACTAATCACTGCTCAGTTTCTTTTTCTGGGTTCTGACATAAAGATGTTAAGACTATTGAAGAAGAACAGAAAGAAACTGAGATGGGGACAGTGAGATAGGAACCCCAAGGAATTGTAGAGTCCTTACATGGTAAAGAGAGTATTTCTAGGTAGTGATCATCTCTGACAAATACTGGTGCGAAGATGAGGATTGAAAATCAATCACTGATCTTAAAATTGTGCATTCTTGGTGCTCCTTGAATAGTTTTAAGGGAGTAGTACAGCAAAAACCTGATTAGGTGTGCTTAAGAAAATATGATTCAAATAGAAGTTATTGACAATGATGTGGAGACTATTCTTTTCAGTAAAAGGAACTAGGAAAAAGCTAGTGGGAAAAGCATTTTGTGTGTGGGTGAATATACTGCATGAAAGTAATGATAGCATCTTCTGTGCTTCTGGGAATAGCCCAGAATACATGGTATAAAGGGTGGAATAAAGGGAAGAATTTATAGAAAACTGCATGAGACTGTAAGAAGGGCTTGGATGTAGTGGACAGGTGGAATTAGCTTTTTTTTTTCTCTCCAGTAGCATTGGTTTATGACAGTATACAAGTTTCATGTGTATAGTCTTATAAATAAACATCTGTACATACTTTATGCTTTAGAAGTGTGTACTGTTTGTAATAGCAAAAGGGAAGGAAGAAAACATGGGCAGATACAAGCAAAAGATAGGGAATTGTGTTCTGGTTGTATATATTTTCTTAATAAGATAATAGGAAAGAAATTATGGCCTGAAGAGAAGATATAAAATAATTCTTTAGGAGAGAGAGAGTGAATGGGCTAGGAAAATGTAGGAATTACATAGGACACTAAAGTCTACTTAGTGGTCATGAATTTAAAGCATGGTTATATGTATGTTTTCCAGTTATGTTTTTAGTTGCATGGGTACAGGCCTGGGTTAGGCAGAGGGTTGTTTTTAACCAGGGTTAGGGTTTTGCTTAATAGATAAAATGATAAAAGGACAGAGAGATGAAGTTTGTATCCAAGGGAGAAATTACAACAATGTATTATAGACTCTGAGTTCACCAGGAAAATAAGGGTATGAGAGGAACATGATGGGACAGTCTAAAGGTGTTGATAGTATATAAGGGTCTGTAAACTACAGCTTGCAAATAATGCAAGAGCTACTATTATCTTGACCCTATTATCTAGGGTCAGTTTTTCACTTTCCAAGTGTTCTAAAAAATAGCAAAGTAGAATATGCAGCAGGAAACTTTATGTGATCCACAAAGCGTAAAATATTTAGCCTTAACTCTATAAAATATTGCTGATTCCTTTGATAATTAATGGATTACATATATCCTTGGAGTTGAAAGATAATGGAGGAGGAAGTAAGGTAGAAAAATAACTGGGTTGAAAGTGAGATTCTTGAACTCGAGAGGGGTGCACCTTACTGCCAAATTTTAGGACTAGAGTATGACAAAGGAGTGAATGAATGACTAGGGTAGTCAGAGACTGACAGAATTTTTGGAGGATGCTGTCTGTTAGTTAAAAATCTTTACCTGTCCTGTATTTGTTTTAGAAGGAAACAGCTACACATTCTCTTTTATCTTTGTGCCTAACAAGTCAGTTGTATCCTACCACAACTAGATTGGAAATCAGTAAGTACTGCAGAAAACTCTAATGGCTGTAGCAAATGGATTAGAACTTCTTATTTAAGATGGTTTTAAGAGTTTACTCACTTCTGTTTCATGGTGTATGTGGAAGATTAAAATAGAAGTCATTAAGTACTTTGATCTTGATAACAAATGAAACAGTACATTCACTTTTGAGGGGTTATAAGTGTCACTGTTACACTTGTTATTTATTGTGTAACAGCCCCCACTTTTCTACCTCCCAAATTGTGTGATTGAAAACAACATTCATTTGTTTAGTTCATGCATTTGTAATTTGTCAGGAATAGCTATCTTTGCCTCACAATGTTGTTGAAGATACCTGATTGGGACCAGAGGACCTACTACCAACATGGTTTATCACATAGTTTGAAAGTTGGTGCTGGCTGTTTGATCCTCTCCACATGACCCTCAATAATAGGGTTACTTGGACTTATTCCTATGTGGTGTGGTGGTTGGGTTCTAAGAGCAAACAGTGCAAGAGATAGTAAGTAGATTTTGCACAGCTATATTCTCTTCGTCTTGTAGTAACAGAGTACAGACTCAAGGAAGGAAGCATGGACATCACACCTTTTCCTATTTCATGGTAGGTGAATCAAAGAAGTTTGGACTCCTTCATTAAAACTGCCACTTTGGGGCCTTTCCTGGTGGCACAGTGGGTTAAAGCACTGTACTAAGAAGCTAAAGCCACTTCAGTATGAGTTCGATCCCTACCCCGGAGGTGACCCACATGGCGCAGCAAATCTCTCCTGACCCGCCCGCTGTTCCTCTCAGCAGTGTACTTTGTCATTCGGCCTGTCCTGCTCCCCACTCTGTCTCTGGTGAATCCTCTCACCACCTCTACACCTCTGGCCTGTACCCAGTTCTGTATACATAAATAAATAACTCTTAAAAAACAAACAAACAAACAAAAAACTGTAACTTTGTAACTCAGTACAAGTAACAAAGATATTTTTATTGTTCCATTAAAATACCTTAATTACCATAGCCCTTTCTTCCATCCTATTGTTGAGTTTAATCTCCCCCTTCTTAAACTGCTGGTTCCTTTTTTATGGCATTTTCCTCTACATTAATGTGTTACATAATCCTTTACTTGCTAACTCTGAATCACTCTTGCTTTGTTTATGGTGGTTTCTTAATAAATGTGTTGACTTAAGGAAAATCAGTGTAAACTTTTTTTAGTATTCATGAGTTTTGTTTAAATGTCATAATAGTGATTTACAAAGTTGTATCTTGGCAAATTGTGAGTTGTGCAGTTGAAGTAGAATACAAACTGGTGTTAAAACAAGTCATCAAGTTCATAAAAAGTGAATGGTGAGTTAAGGAACTATCTAGCAAAATCTATTTTTTTTTTAAAGATGTGCTTATTTATGTATACAAGAGTTGGGGTGCAGGCCAGCAGTGCTGGGGGTAGGGAGTGGAGGTGGGAAGATTCACCAGAAGGTAGGGAGCAAAACAGGCAGATCGATCCATATTACGCAGCTGAGGAGAGCAGCAGGCGAGATAGGAGAGGTCTGCTGTGCCATGTGGGTCACCTCCCTGGTAGGGGATTTTGCTGCAGTTGCTGCGGATAGTATAGTGCTGTACTTTAACCACTTGTGTCACCAGGGAGGCCCCAAAATTTAAAATGCAGACCAACAAAGAAGTAAACTTAAGGAAAGGGTGACAAATAATGAATTTTATTAGAAAATTTTCTTCTTGAAGATAGCTTCAAGACAGATTCTTAATACACTGGGCAACAGAAATTCAGCTGACTAATACTCTCAATTTCACCTACAACCTTGATGCCCTTTGCATGTAACATAACTTAATATTCCAGGTTCTGGAGATAAGAACGTGGATGTATTTGGGAGACCATTCTCCCTACTAAACTATATAAGTTGAGTAATCAACAGTTGGATATTATTGAAGTACAGGATGAAAGTAAATTCACTACATAGACCTTTTTAAAGCTCATTTTACCATTTTCGTTGTTACTTCTTGGGGCCACAAACAAACAATTCATGGCTCTCAGCTCTTGTTTAAAATATACTAAGGATCATAAAAAATATAGGCATGGATCACATGAAAACAGGGTTGGGAAAGGAATTTTTGGGTCCCTTTTACTTGCAAAGATTAGAAGAAAACAAGTTGGTAGCTTGAGGGGACTGTAAATATTACCATAGGCCTGAAAATGGGAGGTAGGATTTAATGTGAGAAAGGATGATTATGAAGGACTTTGTATACAATACTGGAATTTGGAACTTTATGTTATGGACAATATGGAAAGCTACTCTGGAGCATTTTAGATCAAGCTTGCATTTTAGAAAGAATACTTTTTTTGTGACATGTAGACTGGATTGGAGAGAGCAAGTTTGAGGATATAGGAATGAAATTAATGCTTGTATTATTTAAAGGTATGGCAAGGAGTTGAAAAGGGAAAAGATTTAAGATAATTTAGATTTAAGTGTATTTTGACAGGATTTGATGACCATTAGACTTGGGAAGTGGGTGACTGGAGGCAGACTCAATGGGTTTTTGACTTGAGTAACTGGTTAGAGATAAAGTGTTTTAAGCAAGATAAGGAAAATAAGAATTGGTATGGTAAGTGTGTAGAAGGTAAGGAATTTGGTTTTAGATATGTTTAGTGGGAATTACATCCAATTGGTGTAGTTCATAGATAGTTGATTATTTTGTATGAAACTCAGAGAAAAGGTTGAGGTTATAGACACAAATTAAAAATCATTAGGAGGTATAGGTGGTATTTATTGAAAATATGAGATTGACTAAAATTGCCAAGAGACAGGAAATAGAATGTGTGATCCTCTACAACTAAAAGATAAGACTTATTTTTGATGATACATTGTTTTTGTAGAGTGGAAGTTTTCCTTTACTGAATTTATTGGCATCTAATAATAAAGAACACTTTTTTCTTTTCAGCATGTCTCCGACTACCTAGATTAATTACCCAATAAATTATTTAATAATTCTAGAGTATATTTTTTAAAAGGTTGCTTAAATATTTGCTGTTTCAAAGAGGGGACACCACACTTCTATTCTATTAAGAGGAACATTTTTATAGCCTTGAGGTCTTCCCCTGACCTCCATATCAATCATATCTTGAATTAATAGAGAATGGATTCTAGCAGCTACTCCTTTCCATTGGTTCTCACAAAGGGTGCTTCTCTGGTTGGGGTCAGCTGGTGTTACAGTTGAACTCAAGTTTACCTTACTCTTGACTTCCTTATTTTTCTGATGATCTCCCCCCCTCCCTCTCCTCCCCACCCCCATACAGGTTTTAGGAAACTAGCCTGGCTCTTAAAGTGATGCTATGCTTAATATGAACTAATTCTTTTAGCAACAATTTTCCCTTTGTTTATAACAATGCTAACTGCATGCTGGTCAACATTTAGACACTTCCAGTTTTGTTGTGGTAATCTTTGTAGGGCATTTTTATTTGAAGAGTGCCTGTTCTCTTGATGTCTACTTGTAGATGTACATATGTGATTAAGGAACAACTCCATATTTTCTAAAAGGCCTATAGAAGATGTAGCTAATGCCTCTCTACTTTCCCTTTGTGCTGGTCATTTTGGTGATTACTGGAAGATGGTGGCTTCTGCTGAAAGGACCAAGATATACTTATTCATTCAGTTCCTAGATACCAGTTTTTTTATCTTGAAAAAAAATTCAGTTTTGAGTTTTCACTACAAATTCTGATAAGCTTTCTTTATCATAAATTAGGAAGAATTGCTATAAAGGACATGACATACAATTGGATGATTATTTTAATTCTGAAAAATCATAGATTGACTTAGAGCAAGATTTATTGTGTATACAGTTGAATTACACATTTAAAAGAGTACTGTGGTATAGTTAGTTTTCAAAATTACATTTTATAGATTCCTTGTTACAAGCAGGTTTAATCCTACCAATGCCTATGGTGACATAAAGCTTTATTAAATGTGAGTTATTTTGTATTGGTTAATATGGTATATTGGATATTAAATCTAATATAGGCTTTTTATTACTTCCAGAGATTCGTCAGCGAACTGCAGCTCAAAGAAACCTTTCTCCAACACCAGCAAGCCCTAGTCAGGGACCTCCTCCTCAAGGTCCAATATCTCCTGGATCACCAAAGGACTCTTCAGCCCCTGGTGGACCTCCAGAAAGGACTGTTGCTCCAGCCTTATCGTCAAATGTGTTACCAAGACGTCTTGGATCCCCTGCTACTTCAGTGCCTGGAATGGGTAAACAGAGCACTTAATGTTATTTACAGTTTATATTGTTTCCTCTGGTTACCAATAAAACGGGCCATTTTCAGACAGTATGGAAATGGCATTTCATTTGGAAATAGCAGAGCAGTTATCTGATTAAGCAGGAGTTCCATATTCAATTAGCCATAACTCTTTACAGCTGGCACCTTGTGATACAGAAACCTATTTCTTGAGCTCATTTAACTGTTATGGCTTCTTTGTTTAAATGGCAATAAAACTTTGTAGTATTCTGTAGTCAACAATATAGTATGTCTTTATATTCAGCTTTAGAATTGCTCTAGATTTATATAAAATGGAGATGGAAGAGGATCCTTTTAGAATATGTTTATGTTTTGCTAAACCCTCTACATATATTTTTGAACATGACAATTATTTCAAGAAGAACATTCCTGTGTAGTGATATGCAATACTACTCTTGCTAACATGGGTTGGTAGATTTTTCATTTTTTAAGCTATGGAACCATAATATATCTTAACAGATATTTTAGCATAGTTACTACTATCTACATGCTTGAGAATTCTCATTTTTCAGAATGGTAGAGTTCTAAGGAAAGATATCATTTTGGATTACAATAGATTATATTAACCTGCTGTTTTCTTTTGGAGTATGATATAGACATGGAAGTCTACTGCTTCAGCAGGTAACATTATTTCATGTAAATTTCCATGTCAATTCCTGAATATGATAGTAAATTACCTTAGGTCATTTAATCTAATTTAGATTACTTTTGTATTTCATGACTAATTACTAATATGTAACTTTCAGTGATTTTTGAGGCTATTAAGTAGGTGATATCACGTATTCAGGACATTTATGTAAGAAAATAGATCAGCATTCTAAATGTTATTACAGTAGATTTTTGTCTTTCTTAAAAAAGAACTTAATTTATAAATAAAGAAAGCTGACTACATATACAAATCATAACTTTAAAAATAGTTACTGAGGGCCTTCCCTGGTGGCACAGAGGTTAAAGCACAGTGCTATGAAGCTATCCACAGCCACTGCAGCATGAGTTTGATCCCTGGCCAAGAATGTGACCCACATGGCATGGCAGGACCTCTGTTTCTCCCACTGCTTCCTGCAAGAGTGTTTCTATCTGCCTGATCTGTTCTCTACTCTGTCTCTGATTAATCCTTTTTCCACCACTCCCTCCTGCAGTTCTGGCCTGTACCTAGTTCTTTTATGCATAAGTAAATATAAATCTTAAAAAAAATTTTAAATGAATAAATAAAATAGTTATTAAAAATACTTTTAAATCTGACATGTTTTTTGAAGTTGAGGAAAATTAAATTGTTTTAAAATGACATAATTTTCACTAATTTGATTGATTTGAGATACCCAGGATTTTAAAAATAAAGTTACTAGATTAGTTATCTAATGAAAGAACTTTTTTGGGGTGGGGAGGGATGCATACATTACATATATAGTTATCTAACTAGTAATTTCTAGAAGATAATAAAAATGTAATTGTACATAAAGGGTTAGGGTTATGGAGGCACAATGGCCTAAATGTTGTGATCATGAAAATACAACAATTTATTGAAGATTAAGAAAAAACAGCATAAAAGATTTATATTGCCAGAAATATTCTGAATGAGTTAAGTGATTTCTTATAGAGAAGATTAATAATTCAGTTTTTCATTATGCCATATTTATGGAAGTGATTCAATTTAATGTGTATTACAACAGGGCTTCCATATGTTTGAAAATTAATAACCAGCAGGTACTTGATAATTTGCCAAGCTGTGTGAGAATGACCAGTATTCCTACAATGATTGCCCTTGTTGTTTGTATTAGTTACTGTTATCCATAACAGCATGAATATGAAGATGCATTATTTTTAAAGTTACTAATATGCAAAGGGCTTAAAACTGAAATCTGTTGTTTTATGTATCTAGATTTCTTTATGGCCCTTTTCATTTTAAGTTTGTGGAAGGAAAATATTCCAGTAAAAGTTAAGTTGGCTTATATGCTTTCAAAATTCAATTTGGCATGTTTAGTCAAGTTGAAAATTTATAAAGAGGAGTGACTTTTATTGTATTTTTTTTTTATTGAGGTAACTGGTTTATAACAATTCAGAGGTATAGGGTTACACTTCTTCAGATCTATGTTCACACACCATACCTACCACTAGGCTCCCAAGGTCCTCCACCACAGCCCATTGGGCCTCCTCTCTCTTGTTCCCTATCCTGTAGCCATCCTCTCTGGTACCTTTATTTCTATAGTCAGATTTCTAAAGTTTATTTTGGTTTAGTTTTACTTGTTCCTATTTTCTTTCTTTGTTTTCATATATGAATGAAATTACCCTGTATTTGCCTTTTTCCTTCTGATTTATTTCATAATCCTGAGGGAAGATATTTAAGGTTTGTACTCAAACTTACTTTTTTTTTTTTGTGATAACAAGTGAATGTTGCTAGACAAATAAGCCAATAATTTATCTGATAACATCTGATAAATATTAAAAATAATATAAAACATTCTTATAT